TTCGTTCGAGATGGCATTGACGTATTTTCGCTCCCTTGTTCCAGTAGATGCCGCCCGTTACAGTTTGTATTTCCGCCCGTCTTCATGTCGTCAAAAATGTTGGCGAACATGTCCAGGTATCCTTGGTCGCGCGTGACATCAAACGCTCGAATAAGGGCCAGTGCCCACCATCCTCGTCGTCATAAAACTCGTTGATGAACCCAGGAAACTGGCGAGAGATGAGTTTGGTGGCCACTTCTGTGGAAGCGTCCTCCATGCCGACCATGGAGATGGTGTAGGATGACGTGACGAGGCCCGTGTCGTCGATGAGTTTCAAGGAAGTGACGGCCTCCTTTTGGGCTTGTTCGAACGTGTTCCTCATGATGCCACCAACGTTGAGCGCATTCGCAGCAACGACATCGATGCTTGCAAAATCAGCCAATGTTGTGAAGATGTTGGCGCTGTTCCACCACTTCCTGTCCCAGATACCGCTTTGGACATTGTACCATGTGCTCTGGAGAGCGTCGATAGCCGCCATAGAGTTGATGGTGTACGTCGTCAGGTTCGCGTGCTGCGTTTCTGGCCGGCTGGACATGACAAAGACGGCGCCGGCTCGGGCAGCCAGACCCCCAACCCAGGCAACCATACTGTTCAGGAATCGGAAGGTATCGTACAAGTTTTTGGGTTCAATATGATCCAAGGACGAAAAGAGGTGATTGTGGGTGTATTTTGGAAGCGAATAGACATTAGCAGCAAGGGAGAGAAGCAACAGAGTCAGAAAGTAGCAAACTCGGCGGGCCGGACTCTGGCTGTGGCGACGCGTGCAGTTATACCATGTCGACACTGGTCGACGAGGGGGTATGGGGAGCTTGATATTGGCTCCAGGCGGAGCTCGAACATCTTGTGCCCGCGCTCGAGCATGAGCTGAGGTGACGGGGGTCGAAAGAGGGACGAACACCCCCCAGACCTCGGAATGGGAGGTGCTCGTGTTCTTCCCGTCCATCATCTTCATGCTATTGCTCACTCCTCATGCCCAATCCCATGTACATGGGCGGAGGACAGGGCCTCGGACAGATCAGGACCAAGTATGGAGGGATGATGCGCCGGGTTTTGGGCGGGAGGGCTCCTGGCAAGGCTCCTAGCTCGTCCCAGCTTTCTGGGCAGGAGTCAAGCCAAGGAGGCCGAGCTCCATCACGGCAGCGGATGACAGCCAGTTGTGATCGAGCCAGCGCATGAGGTAGGCTGGTACGGACATCCGCGATGCAGGGATATGCATGAGTTGGTCGACAGCGAACGCCTTTCCTTCTCGCTGCTATGGCTCAGAATGCGTGACTGATGTTACCCCAAAGTGACTGGCATCCTAAAAGGAGAATCTCACACTAGAGCCAGGCGCGGTTGTGGGTTATGGATTGGGGCCGCCGATTGTAGTGGTTGGCTGGAATGGCGGCAGGCAAAATCGATAGGGCGGTTGACTGGTTCTGGCCTTGTTTCAGGACGAGATTGGAAGTCATGCTTTGCGCCGTCTCAGCCCCTGAAGCGCTTGAGGTGTACAGGCAGAAAAGAGCCCAGCTGGGCGGCTGCGCGATTAAGCCGCCCAATGCAGACGAGACAGGATAGCCAAGGGTGGAGACCAAAGCTATATTTGCCCATTAGTATGTCGCAGATGTCCCTGAAGGGAGGAAGATCCATCTGCTGTGCTCTGCTGTGCGGTGCGGTGCTGTGCTGTGATGCAAGCACTCACTCCATTCTGAGCGGAGGGATCCACCAGAGAGGCCTTGCTGAGTAAGAAGACGACGGAGCTGCCAAGGCTGTCTCCACGATTAGTCAGAACTCCCATATGTAGCATCTCTGTTTAGAAGCTTATTCCACCGTTGCTGCTTCGCTACTTCCCATCTTTCCCACTAATGGAATCACTCAACTGCATAGGCGCCTGTCTTGGCTACCACCTTGCCTTTTTCCCTGTCTCTCTAATACATGTGAATACATGTGGAGAGCCTCGAACAGTCGTGTCTGGACAGCAATCAGGACTCGTCCTACGGTTCGTGCTCCTCCACCACCTGGACCAGCCAAGCCTGTCTCTACTCGACCTTGATCGAGGCACCAGCCATGCGGATGAGCACTTGTCTGTGTCTCCCAACCCAGTCCCCGACTGAGATGTCATTCAAGGAACAGGGGATCCGTCAAGCAACGAAACCCATGAATGTAACCCAGCATACCGACGGCAGGCATGTGTCAAGGAAACATCGACCGAAGTGATCGTCCAGGTACATGCTACGTAATATCGGCTGGGCCCGAGAAGCCCGAGAACAACCAGGCTTGCATCCACGATCAAAGCTCCTCGTTCTGGCCATCGTCAAAGACTCCAATCAGACAGTATTTGCAGGCCTGCCCGCCTCCTGTTGTAGACGTCTGGTGCCCGCGGACCTCGCTCGGGACGTGGGACTAGTCCTTGTGACCGGGGCGGTCCAAACGAATCTGGGATGAAGCCTGACTTGGGACGAAACCCAGAACAACAATCGGTGACGATGAACAGCTCGCCTTGTTTGGATCTGGCCCCTCGAGCAAACCAATAGTGGGAGAAATGGGGTCCCCCGCAGTCCCGCCTCTCCCCGCTTCCCCTCAGCTGAACGGCACGCTTCCAGGAACCGTTCGTCTGGAATCGCCCTCATGCTCGTCTTTCCACTCATGGCTCGCCCGAGGCAACTGCTGGGTCGGAAGAACGGCCCAGGGATCACGCATGCCAGCTGCTGGATGGCTCCTCTGATCGTCGCCTCCTCGCGCCCTCGTGTCAATGGTGCATGCCGTCCTGCCGACGCACACGTGGTTTTCATGGTGTCGCCTGCTGCCAGGGCCTTCATCTCAGTGCTGCCCGAGTCATGCACTTACCATACGCGGAAATTGTCAACCCCGAGCTCGACAGCATTTGCGCCGATTCGAGAGTGGCCTGCCCTCGCCCGTGTCGGCCAAGATGCCTGCATTGCGCAGATTGTCCGCGATGGCGTCGAGTCTGCTCCTCACTGTCGGCCTCATCTCTGCCGAAGACCGGCAGATTATCGCCCCCATAGCCCCATCCGGAGCGCAACTACTCCTCGACCATCGGCATTTGACCCCACGGCTCATCTTAGCGATAGTGACGCTGGGGCGAAGTCGTGCCAATCATTGTCGCTCGCTTCTCTCCAGCCACCCGTTCCGGCATGGTCGTTGATATTGGGGTAGCTTGGCCCTCGGTCGAGATGAACCCGTGGCGAGGACTTCATGCTGCCCATGCTGGCCTTCCCCAGGCATCAGGGGGGGTTCATTCCCCGCGTTCCCCATGATCAGTGCAAATTGGACTGTGGGGAGAACACGGGGAGTGCATCACAGGCACACCCTCCGGCTGCTACCCTTCGCTCATTGCCCTTCGCCATAAATACTGCGCGCGCGACGCTGTCGTCTGGCTTTGGCTTCTCCTACTCCTGGTCTACCAACCGCCCGGGACAGTCTTCTCCAGCCACCTACTCGTCCTGATCAGTTCGGCCCGAACACACAACGTCGCCATGAAGATGATGCTGTCTCGCCTTGCCGCCATGGCTGGCATGGCCCAGATGGTTGCCGCTGTCCTTCAAACGACAGAGACATCTAACTCGTACATCATCGCCAACGACCGTCTCAATGCCACGGTCACCAAGACTGGCGGTATCATTGTCGATCTGACGCTCGACGGGTCAAGACCTCCTGGGTCCCGCCACCGGCAGCATCGGTCGAGGCCCCTACCTCGACTGTTACTGCACACCCGCGGGTTTCTGGACCCCTGGTCGTGATCGACCAACGCTGGCCCTCTACTCTGGCGAGGATGCCACCGGAACCAAGTACGGCGGCTTCAAGATGTCCGACACCTTCCCCGCCACCGGCCAGGTCCTCGAGCAATACATCTTCCTGCGCGAGGGTGAGACCGGTCTTCACATGTTCAGCCGCGTCGCCTACCACAACGAGACGACGCCCTTCCTGCGCAACCTGCAGGAGCTTCGCACTCTGTTCCGCCCCAACACGGAGATGTGGACTCATCTTCTGACGAACCCTGAACAATACGGCCCCCTGCCCAGCAAGGAGGGTGTCGCCAAGCAGGTTGTCGTTCAGGACGCTACCTGGGACCTCAGCGCGACTCCCAACGACCCTTACGTCAAGGACTTCTCCGAATACTTCACAAAGTACACCTTCCAGTCCACCTGGGAAAACCACAAGGCCCACGGCATGTTCGCCGATGGCAGCAAGACCGCTGACGGCTCTACCTTTGGTGCCTGGATGGTCATGAACACCAGGGACACCCTGTTCGGCGGCCCTCTCTTCTCCGACCTCACTGTGGACGGTATTGTCTACAACTACATCTCCTCCAACCACCACGGCAACCAGACTCCCAACATCACCTCTGGCTTCGACCGCACCTTTGGCCCTTACTACTACCACTTCAACAAGGGACCTGCCGGCACCGACATCAAGGAGCTCCACGCCGATGCTGCCCAGTATGCCGATCCCGAGTGGAACTCTGAGTTCTACGACGCCATCGCCCCACTCGTCCCCAACTATGTGACAACCAAGGGCCGCACGACTTGGAAGTTGCACGTTGACCTTCCCAAGGGCGCCAAGAAGCCCATCGCTGTCCTCTCGCAGAATGGCGTGTACTTCCAGGATAACGTTTTCGACACCAAGGCTTACCAGTACTGGACTGAGGTTAGTGAGTCGGGCGATGCCACCATTCCCATGGTCAAGGCCGGAACCTACCGTCTCACCATTTACGCCGAGGGCATCTTCGGTCAATACATCAAGGACGACGTCAAGGTTGAGGTCGGTGGCCGCATCCGAACCACCCACGCACGCTGGCGCGAGGAGAACGCCGGCACTGAGATCTTCCGTATCGGTACCCCTGACAGGAGCTCTGGCGAGTACCGCCACGGCTTCGAGAAGGACCTGTCCAAGCCGAGGCAGCCTGCTGAGCACCTCATCTACTGGGCCGCTTACGACTTCCCCTCCGAGTTCCCCGATGGTGTCAGGTACAAGGTTGGCGAGAGCGACCCCGCCAAGGACCTCAACTACGTCCACTGGAGCGTTTTCGGAGGCCGTGGCAACTCGGTTCGCAAGGACATGTACCTGGGAGACGGCAACGTGAACAACTGGACCATTGTCTTCGATCTCGAGGAGGCGCAGGTCAGGCGCAAGAGGGAGGCCACCTTCACCGTGCAGCTCGCCGGCGCCAAGACCGCTGCGGGTAACACCGATGTCTTCAACGCCAGCGAACCTCACGCCAACCTGGCTTACACTGTCAACGTGAACGGCCAGGACCTGAAGCCCTGGGTCATCCCGTAAGTTCAGCATGCCTTCCTCATTGGTGTTTTCGCAATTAGCTGACATAGCCCAGGTACCATCACAGCAGCTCTTGCGCTGTCCGCTCCGCCGTCGTCTGCTACCAGGTTGGCAACAAGTTCAGCTTCCACCCTAGCATGCTCAAGGCTGGCGAGAACGAGATCGTCCTCAGCTTGCCCTACGGCGCCACCAACTACGAGCCCGCTATCCTGACGCAGGCTCTCTACGTGCAGTACGACGCGCTGCGCCTGGAGATTCGGTAGATCTGCTATTTAGGCAGAAGCCGTTTTGTATACACTTGACGCTTGCACATATTCACGAACATGACGATTTGCGGAATGTAATTAAAATATACAATAATGTACATGATGACATAAAATGAATGTTCCGTGTGGTGTACTAGTTCACGCGAGGCGCAATTGCTGTCAGCGTACCTCAACGATGTGAAATCCCATTCGGGGCTGGAAGATTTAGACAACGTAATGACGTGGAAGTAAATCGCCGCAAAAAGAAACTCTAAAAAAAGTGACGCTTCCTCGTCAGGTTTCTGAGTGTGCCATGATTCATCACCAGCAGGGTTGACTGAACAAACGAAATCTCAACCGCATAAGAGAATAGATTACCCCGACATAGACCTCCGGGCTGAGACCCTGCCATGCGAGAGTTGGGCCAGCTGAGAAGATAATTTATGAGCCAATGCTCACTATTAGGAGTGTCCGAGTTGAGAAAGGTATTTCATGTGAAGATTTCATCTTGCTCGTGCGCAGGCGAATCGACGATATCTGTCGGTCGCTTAGTGGACGGTGATGAAGGAAAGCCAAAGACGCACGGCGTGAGCCGTAGAAGTGTATAGAGTGCTGAACATGATTGAAGTGGGAAAGGCCACCAGTGTCCAACGCCTTGTTTTGCGCGGGTGAATCAGAACAGTTGGTTATGGTCGTGTTGGGTCACATGCATCTCGATGCGCCTCTCATGAACACGGACCAAGATGAAAAAAGTCACAATGCGTTGCACTCTTCTCGTGATGATAATGATTAGCTCATATTTTGCGGGAACGGTGCGTATCATGAGCTTGCTTATCAGGCGGCCGACGGCAACGTGTCTATTTGTTCTGTATGCTGTACGTCTTCAAGACCAGGCGTCACGAAAACGAACCTTTCACCGAGAGCAGGATCTTGGTGGTAACGTCCTCCTACAACTTCCAGGGTCTATTATGACACTTGGCATTGGAAACTCCGGTTGTTTGAAACATGATGTTGCTGAAGAAAGATGGTGAACCTCGTGGCATGAAGACACCTTCAAGAGTCAACAGTGCTTGAGGAAATACGCTTGAGATTCAATGCACGATCCGCTATGTCCTCGGACTCCTCAGGAAACCCACGACACCACTGCAGTATCCAACCAGCCCATCCAAGCGAGCGCACTCGCTTTCCTGCATGGCCTTCCACTCTTGCAGCGCCGCCAGCGATGCCTCGTTCTCCATGACAACGTCAAAGTGCAGTCTCAGGAATACAGTCATCCATGCCTGCGTCAGCTCATAGTCCCGACGAGACTTGAGACGGCTTGTCAAAGCCTTGATGAAGTGTACCAAGCCGTTCGTTTCGTTGCCGCTCATGTCACCAATTGACAGGGAGCGGAGCTCGAGGTCTGCCGTTGAAGGAGATAACGATTTCAGGTGTTCGATGAAGTCAACATCTGCAGCCAGGTCAGTATGTCAATTGTGTCAAGAGAGAGAGAAGAAGTGAAAGCTTACAGTCTCCGGAGACGGCGCCATCCATCAGCCTACTGGTAAAGATCTCCTGCACGCGTCCAAGCTCGTGCTTCGTGATCCGGGACGTGGATTCGGGTGCCGTGTCTGCCGCACCCTCGAGGGCAGGCACCGGCTTGCCGCCGCTGGTGGAAGGAAGGAAGAAAGGCGCCTTCTCCGGCACCTTGGGAGCCTCAGTGGGTTTGTTACGTTGCTTGATGAGGTCGAGGTGGAGCAATGTCTGCCAGCGGCTCTTCGGCACCAAGCTCAAGGTCATCATGTCGGAACTGAGTTGATCGATCGCCGGTGCCACGGTAGGATCGTCTTCTTCGGGCTCGGCCTCGTCATCAAATGCTGCCTCGACAAGGCCTTTGCTGCCTTCGCCTGACGCGTCGGCATAAGTCGTTGTGCCACCTCCTTCTCGGAAATTTGTCTCGTCGGGACATGTTTGTACAGGTTTGTTTGTCAAAGCGTCACACCGAGCTCACCCTTGACAGTCGCAGCAGAAACTCACGTACTGACAATGCGGGCGGTGAAGCCTTTTCGAGGCGAATGGCGTCAATCAAATGGCTCGTGGGGAGATCCCAGACTCGGATCACCGAGTCGTCGGATGCGGCAATAACCCAGCGCCATCGTTTGAGAAGCAGAAGTCGTTGATCTTGCCCTCACAACCCCAGAACTCGCGGATTGTTTTCTTGGTCTCGAGATCCACAACTCGGATGGAAAGGTCATCACAGGCGAACACAAGTAAATCATTACCCGCGTGGTAACGTCCTCCGGTTATGCCGACCATTGGTGCCCAATCGATTTGCTGAAGCAGCCTGCCCGTCAAAAAGTCCCAGAACTTGATCTTGCCATCCAGGGAACAGGAGACAATGTGCTTGTTCATGGAATCAACAATGATGCCGGTGACAGCCTTGGTATGGCGACCTGTTCCCTGCAAAAAGCCGCCGCCGGCAACCTGGATCGAGTCGTCGCCTGCTTTGAGCTGCTGGATCCTGATCTCTCGCGCCTGTGCGGGAGTAAGTTTTGCAGGAAAGCGTTGTCGGTGGATGCCGGACTGAAGGTTGTACATGTCAATGCCACCCTCGACGGAACCGACCAGAGCAAATGTGCCACAGGGGCTGATGGCGACCGTTGAGACATGAGCACCATCGCCCGTAGGGAACGCCCAGCGGCCAGCCTTCTTTCGACCCCAGAACCAAGTGCGGGCGAACGAATCGTCAACGTGAGCCGTAACAACACTCTCCCAGCCCGTCATGCCACTGATCTCGGCGTCGAGCCTTTGTGCCTTGTTGTCTCTGCGCTTCTGCCAAATAGGCTGCTTACCGGGAATGGCTCCAATGCCACCGTCGCGGTTGAGCGAGCTTGCAATGCAAGTAATTTCCGGCGCCTTGAGGTCCTCTAGGCTCGTAGTAGGGCCATGGGCCAAGGCGCGCGTTGAAAGAATGCCGTGCTTCTTAGCTTGCTTGCGAATGTTGCCTTGGCTCAGTTCCGTACTCTGACCGTCGCGTCGCAGACTCCAACCCCACAGGCTTCGATCCTGGCCACCACTGAGCAGCCACTTGTTGCCGGCTTCCGCGCCGTCAAAGTCAGTAGGCAGGAACTGCAGGCACTTGACGGGCGCCGCATGACCACTTCGCTGGTGAAGGATTCGAGGGATCGGAGAGAAGGGGGACTCGTCAAACATCCAGGTTTTGAGCGAGTTGTCCATTCCGCTCGTCACAATGACGGGTTGGCCGGACAAAAATTCAATCTTGCTCACGCCGCCACGGACCTTGGCTCCTTCCTCGACCGGAGGGTTGTGGGCGCTACGCAGCACACCCATGACTCTGCCACCGTGGTTCAGATCCCAGAAGGTGACATCTCCAGTGGCAGCAGTGGCGGTTGCCATGACACCGTCTTTGCGTCCATCGTGGCCTGCGCCCATGCCGTCGGTGCGGAACGAGATTGCATTAACGGGTTCATACTCGTTGCCGGCATTGACTTGAATGATCGACTTGTCGGGAAGGATATTGTGGACGACTAGCGGGCCCTTCGAATAAGCAATGGCGAGAAGAGACAGCGCCGGAGAAGGTTGCAAGCAAGTGACCGAGCCACAATCGGGTGAGGGTGGAAGGATAGTATAGATGAGCTTGCCAGTGCTCACGTTCCATATCTCCACCCAGCCATCCTTGCGGCCTACAAAGATTTTGTTGAGGTACGTAGGCATGTTGGTGACACCTCCGGTGATCTCGTTATCGCCCTTCTTGGTGGCTAGGGTGTGAAGCGTCGTGTAGTGCTCCAAGGTTGAGGTCTTCCAGATTTCAAGCCTCGTGGTCGCGCATCCGACCATCCAGGAGCCAAAGATCAAGATCTGCTTGATGGGTTCGTCGAGATCAGCGGGAAGCTCCAGTTCTTCGGACCTTCGACCGCGATGGAAAGACCACAGCCCTTGGTCTTCTCCTCGGCTTCGATCGCCCCAGGCGGCAAAAACCTTTTCCTTCCAGGCACATGTGGCGGTGATGTCGGCGGGGGTCTGAGGGCGGGTGACGAAGACGAGATTAAGGCCCCTCTTCAAGTCGTAAGTCTGCAATGCTCGGCCAACAGAGGTGGTCACTTGATAGGTGGTCTTTCCGAGGGGTATGGAGGTGAATGGGACATTGGTAGGAGAGACCAGGCCGACTGTCTGCAATGTGTTAGGGTGCCGTGCGCAAAGCGAAAGGAGCTTGAAAGCATACTCTGAAGGGCGCAAAAATGCGTGACGCCTGTTCTGAAGTGGCGGCATCTTTGGCGACAACATTGAGCTTCTGCCTCTTGCTCAGAGGGCCGTCGCTGTCTGAGTGAGGCATCGTCGGCGCAAGCTATAGGGCTATTTGCCGTATGGGCGATGTCGTTTCGTTCGCGACGAATTGGGCTTTGGAGGCACTCGCGAGTCCTTGTCCAGTATTTTTTTCCGCTCGTTATCTTATCATGCCACATGTGGCTGGACAATTTTGGCGGAGTGGACTGTGCCACACCGTGTATTGAGTGTACTTAGGTGGGGTGTTTGAACAAGGAGGTACTTTGAGATGAGGTACCTCCTTGCCATGTAACTGCGATGTGGGTCTCTATACGTACTGTACTACTTTGCTTGATTTGTCTCATAATCCTTTATGTGCATGCTTGTTTTCAGACCTGGCCTTGTTAGCCGATCTGAATCCAGCCGTGCTGCGTAAACGATTCAAGTGCCTTGCATCATGAGCATACAAAATCGAATTGCCAACACGACTTATCTTGTTTATGCTCTTTCGACCGCTTCTAGAGGGCCGGGCTGTGAACTGGGCCCCATATTCGTATGTCACGCGACCATGATGGAAAAAGGCATTCGCCGACCCTTCGGACCTGCTTAGATGCATGCATATGAAGGCCGCTTTCGGTGTCTCATATCCTGGCAACTGGATTGACGTCTTGGCTCATGAGATCATCGTCATAGTGCCTACATCAGGTCGCATTGTGATAACCTCACCTGGTTGGCACTGCTGCCAGCCACCAAGAAAAAATATAGGGACAATGCCGTCACACAGAATGGGGCAGTGCCACGCTTAATTTCTCACCAGTTCCTGATTCAAGGTGGGAAGATGGAAACCACGAGGGCCAGAGCTGGTCGGAGGGGCATTCTTCGCACCTATCACAGGCCTCACTGCAGATCCCTGCTTGGTGAAGTTCCTGGATTCTAGACCTTGCCCCCTCCCCCCTCTTCCATTCCCTTGGTTCACCCTTTGCTTGCTGGACCTGCAGCAGTAAACAACGACTATCAGGCAGAGTCTCAACCGCAGCTGCAACGGCAATTGGCATCTTGTGAACTTTCTCTTTCCCTCCTGTCCCATGTGTCATGCCACAGGGGAACCAATTCCGTCTTGCCGGTGACCTATCGCTGTGCAAAGCATCCTAGTTGAAGCGGGGCGGGGCTCAAAAGACACCAACGAACAAAGCGGCGGCCCAAAGCTTGACAGTCGGTCGGCCTTGTCAGAGTTACTCGAGTTTTGCGTCTTGGCCCCGCGGCCGTCGACCCGGAGCGACAAGAAAATGGACCAGCAGGCTCCTTGCACAGGGCGGGCCGTGAACAATTCTTCAAGCCTGTCCCAGTTGCAAACCACATCCACACCTGCATCCCCACCCCGGACGCTCTCGACTCTTTCAAGCTCCCTTACCACATCGTCGTCCGTATTGACCTCGGCCTCTTCTACGACATTGGCCTCGTCTGCGGGTGCACCATCGACCTCGTCGACTTCGACCACCCCGACGCCGACACCAGCTGCCACAACGCCGGTGCAACGCCCTCGCGACCGCTCCAAACGCTCTGCCTCTCTTTCCCACACCCTCTCGTCCTTCGCTTCGGGTACAGCTACAGCCCTCAGTAGGAAAAGCCGTCACGCCGAGCCAGGAACCACAGACGCACACGCAGATCCTGCCAGTCTATCTATGCCGCCCCCGCCTCCTCCCTCACAAGCGTCCGGTGCCGCTTCCTCGAATCCCCTCAGAAGCCCTCGTTCGTCTCTCTGTCGTAGCCGCCGCGATTCCAACAAGTCTGTCGAAGCCGGGATCGACTCCGAATCCTTTGCGAGCGACATAGTCCAGAAGAGCCCCAATCCAGACCTTGATGTGACGCGGTCCGGACTTGGCATATCTTCCTCAACTTCGACATTCCAGCCCGACCGTCCCCTCACGACGAGATCGTCCTTCACCGACTCCGACATTAAGCGCGCCTCCATATCATCAGTGTATTCTCTTGCCTCTGCCCGCGGCGTCGCCCCGAGCTCTGCTGCATCTGCCGCCGGATCCGAGACGGGTGCCGCCCCTAGGTCAGTCTCCGGCATCATGTCTTCTGGCAAGCCAGTCGCTGGCTCTGTGCCTCCAAACCCAGAACTGTCCAACGTTACCGTTATGACATCCTCTACAAACCAGCACCTAGCCCCCCGCGAAACCCTTGATGTTATGAAGCGCACACCAGCCCCAGTCCGCACCGACTCGACCATCAGATCGCAACCAACTAGGTCCAGGAGCCGGGCCAAGAGAAGGTTCAGCGGGAGCACAGCGGCCAGCAGCCACAGCCCAAGCAGTGATAGGGGCCCGTATCACAAAGAAAGAGAAGAGGGTCAGTCTGACATAAGTAGCTACCAACGTGTCAGTGCAGCGTCTAATCCCCCTCCAGCCAAGCCCGCGCCGTGGGGTGTTATCGGCATCTGTGCCTTGGACGTGAAGGCGAGAAGCAAGCCCAGCCGGAACATCCTGAACCGCTTGATCGCCAATAGGGAATTCGATGTTGTTGTGTTCGGCGACAAGGTCATCCTTGACGAAGGTATGGGCCCATGGAATGGATGTCTAGGAGGTCCAACGAAAACTATCAGCTGACCAGTGCACAATATCAGACTTCGAAAACTGGCCCATGTGGTAAGACCTCCCCTTGTTGGAATCTGATGATCGTCGATAGACCACGCCGTGACGTGAGTTGCCGAATTTCATGCTGATGCAAGTCTGACCTAGTGACTATCTCATCTCGTTCTACTCCGATGGTTTCCCCCTCGATAAGGCCATCTCATACGTCAAGGCCAGGAAACCGTTCTGTGTCAATGATTTACCAATGCAGAAACTCTTGTGGGACCGCCGCCTTTGTTTGCACTTACTTGACAGTATCGGAGTTCCAACGCCCAAGCGACTCGAGGTCAATCGGGATGGTGGTCCCAGTATGTTAACGCCCGACATTGCGAAATACATCAAGGACGTCTCTGGTGTTGATTTTGATCCCGACGAGCCTCGTTGGAGATGCGCGCCCCACAAGGTCGAGCTTCTCGATGATGATGACATACTTAGCGTCGACGGTGCTCTCCTCAAAAAGCCCTTTGTTGAGAAGCCAGTCAGCGGTGAAGACCATAACATCATCATCTACTTCCCCAAATCAAGTGGTGGAGGAGCACGGAGACTGTTCCGCAAAATCGGCAACAAGAGTTCAGAGTACGATCCGGAACTGAACGTTCCGCGCGCCATTCTTGAACCGGAGAACAGCTACTTGTACGAAAAGTTCATGCGAGTTGAGAACGCCGAGGATGTCAAGGCCTACACAGTGGGACCCAACTATTGTCATGCCGAAACCAGGAAGTCTCCCGTTGTTGACGGCGTCGTCCGACGCAATAATCATGGAAAGGAGGTACGTTATGTCACTGCGCTCAACCCTGAAGAAAGGGAAATCGCCAGCAAAATTTCAACATCCTTCGGTCAACGGGTCTGTGGGTTTGACTTTCTGCGAGCCGATGACAAGAGCTACGTTATCGATGTCAACGGTTGGAGTTTTGTCAAGGACAATGATGACTACTACGAGCAATCTGCGAAGATCCTCAAAGATTTGTTTGTCAAGGAGAGATTACGAAGAGGCGGTGTGACGCCTCCCATGCCTTCACCCGCTGTCTCGGATGTGATCGACCCACTGGCTCTGCGAGGCAAAGAGAAGGAGAATGGCCAAGCGTCCGTTCCTGCGCTGCCCATGACGAAGTCAACTGGGCAGCTGCCCGCCAGTCAGTCGGCGGAAAAGGGGTTGCTGGAGCCCAAGACTGACGAACTCCGCCCCCCCCGTCAACGTTGACCACCAAGTCAGAGACTGCGGCGACCTCGGGCGCCATGAGCCTTGGCTCGAGTCCCTCGTCCCTGCCGCCACCGCCACCCCTTGTTGAGACGGGCCCTGGCAGTGTGCCGTCGGCGACACCATCAGCACTAGCTTCCGCTGCTGCCTCCTTGAAGGGCGATACTGCACCCGAGCCAGAAGAGGCACCGGCTCCTCCTCCACCACCACCACCGAAACATTCTTGGAAGCTCAAGGGCATCGTTTCTGTTATCCGACATGCAGATCGCACACCCAAGCAGAAGTACAAGTTCACGTTCCACACGGCACCTTTCATTGAACTGCTCAAGGGCCATCAGGAAGAGGTTCTCCTGATAGGAGAAGCAGCCTTGGCTAGCGTCATTCACGCAGTGGATGTTGCAGTGACCCAAGGCATTGAGGACCCGAACAAGCTCAAGTCGCTGCGAAATGCGTTGGTCAAAAAGGGCGGCTGGGCAGGAACCAAGGTTCAGATCAAGCCCATGTTCCGCAAGAAGGTCACCGATGAAGTTGTGCCTCCGGAAGAGGTCGCCCAGATTCTCAAGGAGGGTGTGGAAGCCAAGTTCCCTGAGAAGGCGGATGAAAGTCAATCCAAGACCGATCCAGCAACGAGAACAACGCCCAAACGCCACGACTCACTCTCAGGGGTCACCATGTCCCGCATTACGGCCGCAGAGGAAAGTCTGGTCCTGGACAAGCTCCAGCTTATTGTCAAGTGGGGCGGCGAGCCCACGCACTCCGCCAGGTATCAGGCACAGGAACTGGGCGAAAATATGCGCAATGATTTCATGCTGCTAAACCGCGACGTACTGGACGAGGTCCATGTGTACAGCAGCTCAGAGCGACGGGTGACGACCAGCGCGCAGATCTGGACTTCTTCGTTCCTGGGACGGAAGGATCTCCCTGATGACTTTATTACGATTCGCAAAGACCTTTTGGATGACTCGAACGCAGCCAAGGACGAAATGGACAAGGTCAAGAAGAAGCTCAAGGGTCTACTACGCAAGGGAAATGAGCGGCCATCGCAATTTGCCTGGCCGGACAAGATGCCTGAGCCCTCCGAGGTTCAGACGCGGGTCGTTCAGCTGATGAACTTCCATCGGCGCGTGATGCAGCACAATTTTGGCAAACTGTACAGTGGGGCCGTCAACTCTCTCAATGCCATATCCAACCCTAGCATAGACAAGAGCCAGCCAGGTGAGTCATCGGCTGGCTCCATGTCGTCCGCCCTGTCCCAGGCCAATGGGATCAACAACATACAAGCCCGCTGGTGTTGCGGCGAAGATGCAGAGCTCTTCAGAGAACGCTGGGAGAAGCTCTTCCAAGAGTTCTGTGATGGGGAGAAGGTTGATCCTAGCAAAATCTCAGAGCTCTACGATACCATGAAGTTTGACGCGTTGCACAACCGTCAGTTTCTCGAGTGGGTTTTCACGCCACCAAAGCAAATGCTCGAGGAGGAGTACGGGTATCAAGGACAACAAAGACAGCAAAGAGAGCAGCTTCAAAGAAGGCAGTATCAAGGAGGGCAAGGAGGGCAGATCTGCTGGCAAGGAATCGGAAGAAGCAAAATATCGCAGACTCGCGAGAGGAAAGACGGGATATACCGGGACAATTCGACTAGACCGCCGAAGGAATATAAGCTCGAGTTCAGTTCGTC